CCCCTCCCCCCAAAAAGCCCTGTTTCGCCACTTTCGAACAACCCGTGCAACGCGATTCTCCAATTTCTTTTTAACTCAGCGCGTGCACATGCCTCGGAACACTACAGCTCCTCATCGTACCTTATCCTCCCCCTCCCTCCCAACGTTAAACTTTTCGAGTTCATTTTGACTCCGAAATTTCCTTCGAGTGTCCAATTGTAATAATGTCTACGGTCAATAAGTGATTTGACCCAAATGAATGCGTCCATTGTAGCGTCGCGTTCGATATCGGATGGAAAGGTACAGTTGTAACTTTGGAATATCTGGTAGACGATGTCCCAATTGACAGTATTTTGGCACTCATGATCATCCTTGCCAGAGATCATGCATCTAGGAGGAAACATTTCTTCAGGTAGGTAATTCGCATCCATTTCTCTCCATCCGATATACAATGCAACGTCAAATTTACTGCCGGTTTTCCTATCAAGTTCGGAGCAGGGTATCAGCCCCCGTATGAATACCTCAGAACTACGAATCCTTGAACCCTGAGCCCCGAATGCACTTGGTCACTTGTCTAAGGAAAGTCACTTGGAAGGGCGAAAGAGCGCAAGGGTGACAGAATGCGAGGAAGGGAGTGTGTCAGAGTGAGAAAGACAATCATAGGATAACTTAAGACATGCTTCCCCACTCAAAAGATAGAATTTACAAAAATATCTCTAAATTTCCATATATCAATCTGCCTGTATATAACAAACAACAGAAAACTAGCAAGCTCAGGATTCACCCATTCGCAGAACTGACGACATCGTCGTGTGTACGTTTACGTTATAACAGTGCGTTTGCAGGGCGCCCTGTCACTCCTCGGTGAGTGTTGAACGAACCCAGTCTGGTTACTAAAACCGTGTTTTATACAAGTGCAAAAAGGTTGGTCCTTAGCAAATAGCATGCGGTGACATGGCCTATATCTCATATTATTGTCATATTAATTCATTTATACACTTCTTATTGTTATCACTAGGCAGGTGGGCCGAGCGGCGATCGCTGTTAATCATTTAGATCTATCGAATTTAGAATCTTTATGACGATGATGGTTTGTCGTTCGTAGGGACGCCTTCTAAAAAAAAAAAAATTAATACAAAAATTTACACTTTGCTCATCGCGCTTTCTTTGCTCTTTACTAATCTTTGTTCTAGGCAGGGATCCAGCATATTGAATCTTCCCCGATGATCCTGCTCGCTCGCGTCAAACGTACAAATATTAAAGGAAATAAAGACATTAAGAACAATTTCTCTCTCTCGGGCTACGTACAATTGATTTTTCAGTTTTCGTATTACTTCATTGACATCAGTCTCTTAAATACTTCTTCTCCTATCCCTTACGTCAGTGTCGTTTTTCGCTTCGATCTACCAAGCATGACTGCCTTCGGCCGCTCGGCCGTTCATCATCGTAACTTTTGTTATTTAGCCTCTACTCGCTGTTTCTCTATTTACCAAATAATATTCTACGATCACTTATCATTCCACGCCAATCATTGATACCATCCTATCTATTATACATACATACATACATACATATATATCTATAGCTTGAATCCTGGTGTTGTGATACAGTAGTGAAAATGCTTTTTGGGCACGGTCTTGTCCGTCGTTTGAACTTTCCATTCAGAGAATTGATGCATTTTTCATGAAAACGATCGCCCTTTTTTTTTCCTTTTAATTTGAAATTAAAGCCACATATATACGTATACAGTGACATCCAGTTGAGAGGCATCAATGAAATTCTTGTGCCTTTCAGCTGAATCGCTCTTTACTATATTATTATATAACACGTGACTGCATAAACGCCGCGTTATTGACTTTCTCATGCTTTCTTTTTTTCTTTTTTCTTTTTCCTCTCTCCTTCCCCAAGATGTATCCCGAGTATAATTTGGTTTCTCTCTGCCGTAATTATCCCTGCCTCGTGTTTGAAGTATCTCAACACAAAGCTTGTATAAGAGTCCTTCCGAAATGCGTTATTATCCACGTGCTGTATCTTACGCAATGCGCAATACCTTACGGACCCTCAGATTGTCCTCTTCGTGTGACTGTGGGACTGGGTGACGCAGTGTCAGTAGACTCTCTCCTCATGCAGTCTCAGTCGCTCCACTTGACAGTTTCGTGCTTTCGTGTTACGAATTACGCGACGACGAAAGAAAGAAAGAAAGAAAGAAAGCAAATATTTGACATTCTGGCTGTACGGTGCGTTCATGAAAAATGCTAACTCGATGTATGGAGAAAAGTGAAGGGTTGATGTAGCGAAGGGAGAGGGGGGGGGGTGTTCATATGCTGGAATGCTTGTGCGAAGAGAGAAAGAGAGGAATAAAGGGGGAGAACGAGTGCGTGGGAGGGAGGAGGCTGCTTGAGAGACGAGAGGATCTGCTTGGATAAATGGGAGAAAATGTGGTAAGGGCGAGAGAGAGGGAGAGAATGTGGGTGAGGACTAGTGGAAAGGGGGGGAAGGAGAGGGGAGGGTGTACAGAAGGAAGAAGAAGAAGAATATAAAAGTTTGTTTCTTGGAATTTTGCTTTTAGTTCGAACGTTATGTTTCGTGAAAGACTCGCAACACCGAACGTAACGTCTCTCACACTATAGCCTAGCTTTTGTGTCACACGAACGATTTAGATAAGTTGACCCGACCGACAGTAAGTAAACGAATTTCTTCACGTACCAAGCATATAATATATAATTACGTATACATAATTGCAATTACATATTACGTATAATTTATATACGCCTGAAATCTAACAAGCAAGACATTGGGAGAGATTACGAGGCGCGGCGCTCGTTCTTTTTTCTTTCTCTTTCTTTTTTTTTTTTTTCCTTTTTTTTCTTCTTATCCTTTGGTGTTTCGCGCGGGGCTTGCCCGATCCTGCGGATCCATTGGAACCGGATGCGGATGGACTCCGACGGGGGTTCCGCGCGTTTCCGTAGCCAGAGATCGTAGGATCGTCGTCGCGACGTCCTGGCGACCGAGCCAGAGGGTCGGGAAGCCCGGGAAGCCCGGGAAGCCCGGGTGACAGCCGATCGGCCTCCCGATAAAACTAGTCGCGAGCGAAGCACACCGGCTTATACTTTTTGGCCTCCTTGGAAGATCAACGAATCGAACCTATTAACTCAACGATCTATACTGTATGGTGTGAGGTTTTGTGTGGTAGCACATTTTTCTTAGTTTGTTGTGAATTGTAATGCGTATGCAGCACTTTGCATGCTGGACGTTTATAGTTTTTGCGAATTCCCTTTGATTAACGAGGAAGGACGAGAGGCGATAAAATAGCGAAGAGCGCAAACTGTGCGGACGAGAGATCGTTCGGTAGACACTGGACGGGGGCCGGACGCTAGACTCCCCTCGGGCGCCGCCGCGTTCCTTCTCTGCTTCTATTTCTACCTTTACTTTTACTTTTACTTTTACTTCTCGCTCTACCTCTGTCTCTACTGCAACTTTCGGTGGAAATCGAAGGGCGTTTCTTGGCTCACTGCGAAACGCCCTTGCCTTTCCATTTTCGCGCGTTCTCTCTCTCTCTCTCTCTCTCTCTCTCTCTCTCTCTCTCTCTCTCTCTCTCTCTCTCTCTCTCCCCTCCCTCCGCCTACGTCGAACTCTCTACGGGCCACTACCGCTGGAACTCCTGATTTCGTATCCGAATGCCACTAGTTCATTCCGCTCGGCTGTCACCCGATTTTCCGCAGCGCGCGGAGTTACGATCGACTGGCGATCCTTTGCGACGAGACAAGGTGCATCGATCGAAATTCCGTTATTTCCCGAAATTCCTAAGAGTAACGGAGAAAAATTGAAGAGTTTCTATCGGTTGCCTGACTGATTGGTCTGCTTGAGAATTTTGCCCCTTTCTTGGATTCTCCTATTGCGCTCGAGTACTTTGTTGCACGAGCAGCAGCAGCAGCAGCAGCACTCTCTCTCTCTCTCTCTCTCTCTCTAACGGAATGCTAAGAAAATGAGTAAAATGAGTAAAACGGATCGCCGTCGATCGTACTCGTGACGTAAGTATACGAAAGGCTATTGTTACGTTGACGAAGCAGCAGAGGACGAGGCGCGGATCTTTGGATCGGCGCTTAAAATTAAAACGAATGTCTTTTGCAGGGATGATAGGAGCCTTACCACCGGGTGCAATGCATCCGGCCTTCGCGGCTCCGATGGGTTTCCCAGGTGCCCCGATGCTGGCCCCGATGATGCATCCACGCTTCAGATGATCGCCCCCGACGGACGGGCCCAATCCACCCCTGCACTTCGTGCTGTGGGCCCGCCCCTAGGATATTAGGCTCCGTCGCCGGACCTGAACGAGTCCGCGAGAGGCCGAAGCGATTCTTCGTCTATCCAGCTGCTGCTGCTGCTGCACCTGCGCCTGACGATCCTCCTGCGTTAACACGAAGTTAGCAAAATCTTTCTTTTCTATTTCCACGCACCATCGTGTCAGTGAGATCGAGCGACGCCGCTTTCACCGGAAACGTCTCCATTATTCGAACCGTCCATCGTTCGTTCCTATCTCTCTTCACGCGTTAACTGTGCGCGTGGCGCCATCTGACGCGCGCGCCGCTCCTCTTCATTTTCATTCTTTCGCGACGAGAGGAGAAAGAGAGAGAGAGAGAGAGAGAGAGAGAAAGAGAGAAAGACGAGGACGAAACGAGCGTTTCTCGCTTGCGGATCTCTCGATCTCTGCAGATCTCTGCGATCTCGGAGAGGCACCTCGCGAATGCGGATTAGGTGGCGCTCTCCACGCTGTCGCTGGGAAGCATCGATCGAGTCTCGTCCTTAAAATTTCTTATCCTTCCCCTCTCTCCCTTTCCGTCTCGTCACTCACTTACGCAGAGTCAAAGGTTTCCCGATTGCGCAGCGACGAGCAAAGGGAAGACGCGGACGCCGGTCGCAGCGTCGATCTTTCATTGATTTTTGATTTTTGATTTTTGTCGTGCGCGGTGGACACGACTGCCAATTGTATGTATCTCCTATTGTAAATTATATTGTTCCAATGAATTTCAATGTATCCGTCGGCGAGTGAACAATTCTTTTGGCATCGGCCGAATTCACTAAGAGGAGGTCGAAGAGGGGAGGGATCGTGGGGATTAGCCTGGGCGCGATAAGACTCGTCGGCAAAATTAATAGGAAGGTGAAAAAGAGGCCGTGCAAAAATTTGGCCAGCTGCAGCGTGGAGGATCTGTCGTCTCAGGTTAGTCTGTCGAAAATTTTATTTCGTTAACACTGCGGACCGATTCGATTTCGAGTCTCGGCGCGCGACCCGAGTCCGAGGCTTGACTCGCGGGTCGCGACCCGAGATCGAAATCGGCTCCGTTCGGAAAGCCTTTCTTTGGAAGGAACATGTTGGCGACACATGAGTCAGTGGTAAGTACGGAGAGTGCTCACAGAAACGGACACCGACTCTCTACGCTCGACTC